ATTTTGAAAAAGTGGTATTTTTGTAAAAATTGTAAAAAAGTAACATCTTTATAAAATGACATTTGAAAAGTGATATTTTTTTAAATTTCTCAAACTTATATTGTAATTGAAAAAAAAACACTTCACTATTAAAAGTTCGATTGAGAAAATCAGATTTAATTGGTTTCGTTTTCTCATTTGCCAGTTCAGTTCCATTTGATTGGTTGAGTAGAATTCCTAATGGTGTTTTTCCCCCTCATCAGAATATGCCGCCTCGTTTTATACTTCTTCTGTTTTAAAATGTAAGATGTTTTAGCTAAAATCGCGGATATTAAGAAATTATTATTTTTTTTAAAGTATCATTTAATATATATAATAAAAATAATTTGACTAATCACACAAAAGACTGCAAAATACTAATGATCACACAATATTCAATTAAGTTAAAAAGTTGTCAAAATATTTTACATTAGAAAAAAAAAAATTTCCAAAACATCTTATATTTTAAAACGGAAGGAACACTAAAGAATCTTCTCCACCAACATCGTAACTTGCATCCCAAGTGACATCACCCCTGCATAATTTGTCTTTGCCAGTTTGCCTTATTCTAAATCTAGTCTTCTTTGAAAGCTCGTTTCCACAATCTTCACTATTATCGTTGACTAATAATAATTTACGAGTTGGATTGAAACTTGGATGTTTTTTAATGATTTGATAGGTCGGTCTTGCGGTTCGGACCATGATGAAATTTGATATCAACAACTACTGATTTAAATTTTCTCTAGTAGCACAAATTCATTATCAAAATAGCTCAAAATCATTTTTATTTAGCATAAACAGGTACTTTCAAACATTATTAATGTATGTTATTTTTGAAATTTTGGAAAAAAAAATAATTTTTTGGAATGATTTTCCCATGTAAGAAAGAAAAAAGAAGGTTATCCCAAGAAGGGAAAAACTTTCCTATTGATAAAGAAAATCGGACTTAGATTTTTTGGTTTCCCAAGTTACCACTTGATTGGTTAAGAAGAATTCTCACTCCAGTCAGTAATATTCTTCATCCGAACTAATGACACGTGGAAAAACAGTGGACCCCATACTATCTTATTCCGACCAATCTTAAAGAAGATAAAAATCCTCTAAGATACGCTACAAAGATAAACCGATAAGCCTTTATCCATTTCATCCGTCCAATCAACCACGTCATCTCATCCAACGGTGGAAACTAAGCCATTAAACCACAGCCACAAACTCATCTCACAGCAACACAAAAAAATCTTCCAAAAAAAAGGAATAAATCCCCAAAGTCTATTCCTTCACAATCATCTCCAAACACATTTCTCTTCAGTTCTCGGGTCGGATCAAGTCTAGGGGAAATGGCGACTGTCACTACTCAAGCCTCGGCCTCGATTTTCCGACCATGCACTTCAAAGCCAAGATTCCTCACCGGTTCTACCGGTAGATTGAACCGAGATTTGTCGTTTAAATCGATCGGCTCATCGTCAAAATCGTTCAAGGTCGAAGCTAAGAAAGGAGAATGGTTGCCCGGTTTGGCATCTCCTGGTTATCTCAACGGCAGGTAATTAAATACAAATGTCCATTCAAATATTGGTTTTAGAGCACCGGACCAATTGGATGATCGATTTGGTTGGTTTGATTAGATTAGACCGGATCTGTCCAATATTACATAGCCGGACGAATTTATATCGATTTGGTTAGGTCACGTTAGACCGGATCTGTTCGGTACCGGTTAAGTGATGTTAATGTTTTGATCACTCACTCTTGTGCAGTCTTGCTGGTGACAATGGGTTTGACCCATTGGGACTAGCTGAGGATCCCGAGAACTTGAAATGGTTTGTCCAGGCTGAGCTGGTCAACGGAAGGTGGGCCATGCTCGGCGTCGCGGGGATGCTTTTGCCGGAAGTTTTCACCAAGATCGGTGAGTCACCATTCCTAAAACAATTTGTAACATTTATTTTTCAAGAACTTAACACAAGGATTGTCAAAACTGTTGGTAGGAATCATAAACGTTCCGGAGTGGTACGATGCCGGGAAAGAGCAGTATTTCGCATCATCATCTACATTGTTCGTGATCGAATTCATATTGTTTCATTACGTTGAGATCAGACGGTGGCAAGACATCAAGAACCCAGGAAGTGTGAACCAAGACCCTATCTTCAAGCAATACAGCTTGCCACCAAATGAAGTCGGTTACCCCGGGGGTATCTTTAACCCGCTTAACTTCGCTCCCACACTCGAGGCCAAGGAGAAAGAGCTTGCAAACGGTAAGCTTATAAGAGAGATATAATGTTATCTAACGCAAGAAACCTACTTAAGAGTTAAAAACTAATCCCTTTGTTGTTGTTGTTGCAGGGAGACTGGCGATGTTGGCATTCTTAGGGTTTGTGATTCAACACAATGTGACTGGAAAGGGACCATTTGAGAATCTGGTGCAGCACTTGTCTGATCCATGGCACAACACCATTGTCCAAACCCTTAGCGGCTAATGATTTAAGTCAGAGAGACTTATGAATGTCACCTCTCAATCTTGTACTACTTTCATCTGTCTGAGTGTGTTTCATTTTAGAGTTCTTGGTTTTTGAGCATGAATCAATACTGAATCGTTGTAGCTCCATGAACAAATTTAAAAATCTTCAATGTACAGAGGAACTAAGTTAATCAAAATTGTGGTACTCCATAATATCTTTCTATTCATGCGTTACCGTTATAGAAGCACATCATAACTTAGAATCCCAAACACTTCAAACATTTGATACAAGAAAACATATAGTTTAAGTTAAGATTCTGGTCCCTAAATATGGAACAAAACACACTGGCTACAAATTCTTGAGAGACATTACAAATGTAGAAGTAATTTTTGCTAAAGGAAGACTATAGACATCTTAGTGTTGTTGAGGATATAAGCAGGTTATTTGCTCTGCTTTGTTACTGTCCTCTGGACCGTTGAAACACCATCCACAAATTTTGTTCGGAAGAGAACATTGGCGTTGTTGAACATTCCTTCTTTTAGCGAAACCACGATGAACTGTAAGAGAAATAATATCAGAGAGCAGCTGTGTGAGATCAAAATGGATTAGTAAGTTAAGAGTACGAAGCTTTGTGACTTTCTGAAGCAAGTGAATTGCAAGTGATTACAAGATCAGAGAACCCCAAAATAATGTGACCTGTGAGTGTGGGAAATGAGCTTTTATCATTCTTCCTATGTTCTGCGTGTGACTGAGATCAAGAGCTGCATCAACCTGATAAAATCAAAGTAAAGAGTTTTGTTATGAATGTCATCAAACTCTATAAGGTCTTGTGCTCGTGAACATGTAAAGATCACTGGAAGTCTGGAAACATGATCTAAGTCGTTAAGTAATGAAAATGCAAAAAAAAGGAGAGCAATCATATTCAACTGATTCATGAACATGGAATATATAGATGTACCTCATCTAAGATATAAAGAGGAGCTGGCTTGAAGCGAAGCAATGCTAGGATTAAAGATAGTGCAAGAAGAGATCTTTGTCCTCCACTTAGTTCAGATAAAGACTGCTTCCAGACAGTTCCAAAAGCAACACGAACCTCAAGACCGTCAAGGAAACTACCTCCTTCTGGAGGTTCTAGTTTCGCCATGGTGCCAGGTAGTAGAGTTGAAAAAATGGAACCGAAATCCCTGAAAATAAAGATCCAAGCGTAAATCTCGTAAATTGATCTTTAAATGAACTAAAATAAAGTAAACCACATGGTTAAACAAGAAAAGAAAAGAAATATGTGACTCACTGATTAACTTTAACCCATGTAACTTTCAGTGTTTCTTTTTTCTTCTCATCAAGCTCCTCGATCACTTTCTTGATTTTGGATTTGTCCGTCTATGTAAAATGAAAAAAAAAACTACAGATTATAAATGCACAAAAAGATGTTAAAACATGTTGCACAAACCCTCCAAAACTAACCTCGATTATATTTTTCTTTGATATAAGAGCATTGTATTCATCTTCTGCTTTCTCAAACATAGCCATGACCTTCTTGTTCACTCTTTTCTCGAGGCTTTATAAGAGAAACGAATAGCCAGGACAAGAGAGAAGCAAAGATTTCTCACTTAGTAAAGAGAAGAAACAAGAAATAGAAAGATAGCATATTCCGTTGATATTGCATTGCTTGAGTGCGGCGATTATATCATTTGCAAAATTAAATCAATGAGAATCCTCAGAAACATACCTTGATTGATCTGTTTGGAGCCTTTCAAGTTCTTCTCTTGCTTTATAAGGATCGCGGGATTCAAAATCATAATCTGTCCCTCCTTTTCCAAAAAGCTGCTTCTCGGATGTTATCCATGTATGCTTCTCAACAAGTTTGTCTACCTTCACAGAACAATCCTTCTGCTCCATCTCCGTCCTTGTTACCTAATCAGAGGAAAAAATGTTTGCCCATGACAAGTGTGCATTCCTCAAGATGCAGAAATTCAGTATATAAATACTTTTAGTACTTCTTATTAAGTAGTAAAGTATACAACATCTCCAATTTTTTATCACAGTCGAGTTACCAGTAGTCTTGATACTTATATCCATCTCTATGACTCTATCTATCCCACCCAACATCCACTCCTACTTCCACATCAAGAAGTTAAAAGCAATTAAGTAAACCCAAGACATCTATCATTAAATAGGGAGACTGCCGCAATAATAATGGCGTTCAATCGATAGCATTTCAAGATTAAAAAGTTGAAGAGAGACAGAATACCTCATTTTCCAATTTCTTTCTCTCAAGCTTCATGTCAGTAAGCTTCTGCAGACATTTTTCCTGGTCTGCGATAACACCACTTATCTGTGTATCACATTCCTTCATCTTTGCATGTATCAACTTGAGCTCAGCGAGAGACTGATCGTGATTCTTCTCTATGGCATCCACCTGCAAATGAATCACATCCAGACTTTATTTTTCTACGATTTAATTTTAAAAGTCACCAAGAGAAATAACCGCAGTCACCTTGGCTCGTTGCTTGTCCACATCTGAAGCCAGAGTGCTAATTTGCGTCCTCAATGAAGCTAGCTGGCTCTCTAAAGATGACTGTTCCTGCACCACTGCTTCTTGCTCCATCACAAGCCTCTCTCTCTCGTTTTCATGATCCTATGAACAAGAACCATAGAGCAAAAACTATAAAGCCATTTTAGAAATGTCAAAAAGACTATGAGCAGCATAGACCAGGATAAGGATTGAAGAAGTTCAATTACAGAGTCAAAGTCTTTGACTGATCTGGAATACCTTCAGATCTTTTGAGGATGCCTGAATACGAGCTTTGATACTTTTAATATTCTTTTCCAAGTCCTTGAGTCTTCCCTCTCTGTTCTTATCATGATCTTTGATGGATTTCTCTAGTGTGGAGACAGTATCAACACAACTTTTGTAAAAACTTTCCTTCTCTTTGATTTGGGATTTCATTTCTTCAAACTCTTCCTCAAGTTTTTTCACCGCTTCACCAAGCTATATATACAATTGGTAAAAGGGAGTGAGACTAATCAATGTGCTTTCAGCATCACGTGAGGGCGAAAAATTGATTTGGGAAATTTTAGCTAGAAAATGGAGACAAGTGGACCAAAGAAGATGAAAAATAGAGATACAAAACCTTGTGGTGCTCGTTCTGTTCAGCCCTTTTTAAAAATAAGGACAGGTCATACATTTTCAGCTCCAACTGTGCTTTCATGTCTGTGAACTTCTTGTAAACTGGTTGAATCTCCTTGACCTGCAGTGCAAAGATAAACCAGCAAGGTTTCGCACAACCATAAAACTTATCTTTTACCAAGGAACCCAAAGAGAAAGCCGAAACAACATTTGATGTGTGCCTTCAGAAACATATGTGAGGTACCAATCAATCCTAGAAAGACGAACATGAGATTTAAATATGCTGAAATGTCATTAACTTAACATTTGCTTCATTTGAGCCAGCAACAACCAAACTGATTGAATATCAGAAATGAAGAGACACCTAAAGAAGGTTCAAAGTGTCAGTTTCAGTAGCTCAGATTATTATTATTTTCATATCACCAATGAACAATAATGACCCCTTTGTCCCCAATGATCTAGATCTTAATCTAATCTTAGAAAATTGCATACGGTTTTTTTTGCTTCAAGCGATTTGTTAGAATTCTTTAATAGCTAACACAACTGTCAAACTCCAACGTGTCTTTTTTTTCTAAAGGGAAAGCAATTTTACCTTCGCTTCAATTTCAGACAACCTTTTCTGGTGTACGTGAAATTTTGTTTCAGCCTCTGCCAATTCATGAAGTTGCCTTAGCAGATCACCTCCACCCCTACGACATAAAAACACAAAATACACAATTTTTTTGTCAGATTTTAGACATTGCTGAACTATACGTGTATGAAATCAAGTAGATGAACACCACGAAAGATCTAGAGGTCTAATAGAAAGAATGACATACTTGCGACTTCCACCAGTAAGAAGACCACTTGGCTGAAATATATCACCTTCAAGTGTCACACTAGGAGTCCGAATTTCCCTATTAAAAGCAACCTACCGAACAAGCATTTGACGAACAAATCAAAGAATGAAAAATCTAAAGAAAACATAGAAGTCTTGCCATCGAAATATACGTATCTAATAGAAGAGAAGATAATAAGGAAAATAAATTCTGTCAGATAAATGCATTTATAACTTTTGAACAATAAATATGTACGAGTACTCTCCCTCTGCTAGACACCACAGCCAGAGAGAAGATAGGAACTAAATTCTTATAGGGTCATATTCCTTAAAAAATTTAGAGAGAAGGTTAAGTTAAGAGACTATGTTACAAAGACGCCGCTGAAATTGCATCTCAAGTAAGGTACTAAAAAATACATCTCTACAACATCCTCTACGAACAGAGAGTCAGAACACACATACTCTAATGTCTGAAAAATACTTACTTCCTTAGCCGCATTGGTAGTTTTGCAAACAAAAGTGGAACCAAAAACATATTCCATGGCATTCTGCAAGAGATTAGAAAATGTCAAACAAAAATAAATAGTCATTGACTCATGGTATCAGTCTGTCCATAATTAACTGATCTAAAACTTAGAATCAGCAGTTACACAGCTCATGAATTTAATGAAATTATTTTCTGCATCGCATAATAAGGTTATCAAGAATTTAATATACTAATGGATGATGCATATGTATCAGATTCTTGGTACTTTGAGCAGGCAACCAACCTACCTTTAATTCTTCGCTATAACCAACTAAAGAAAGTGCCAATTCCGCATTATCCTTTCCAACCTGAAAAAATAGTTGAAAATCAGCAAGGAACAAAGGAAAAAAGAGTTGAATCTGACAGTAGAATAAAAAAGATCGACATACCAATCTTACAGCAGCTTGCTGCATTCTAGGTGGAACTAGGTGAGACTGAATTTTGTTGAGAGGAATAATTGTAACTCGTCTCCGAAGATCACCCTTTTGAAGGAGTTGTTTTCCAGTATCTTCTGTGTCTACAACAACATTAAATAACTTTCCACCAGCAGTAACCTGAAAAATATTCACCTTAGAGAATTCAAATGATCCGACAATGAACTTTTATCAAAATAAGATAATACCCTACTTACCTCCAAAGCTGTCATTGAGGACCTATCATTTACTTTTATCAGTTTTGCAACCACACCTTTCACCTTTGATCGATCGAAGTCCTTCACTGGATCACGGTATGTAAACTGAACGTTTGCTAATTGAGCGGAAAGATTGCGCAGTATATCTTTCAGCTTTTGCCCAACTTCAAGTTCCAATCCTCGATCCTAAGAGAAAATTTCAGTCACAGATGTATTCTTTATGTAACAGATGAAGGAAAAGAATCAAAGAACAAGCATGCTTACCTTCTCCAGTGCTTCCATCTGACCCTCTTCATATGGAAGAGAATCAAGTGCCCTTTTTACACTTTCGACATCATTTTGTCTAGCATCAAGTTCATTTTCCACTGAAACAGCTTCTTCTCGTTTTGACATTAACTGGGACTTTTTCTCTTTTAGCTCCTTTTCACAGTGACTGATTTTGGTATTCAGCTGCTTCAATTCTGTTTCAGCAGTTCCAACAGAAATCTTTGCATCACGTAGTTGATCTTCAAGGCATTTCTCTTCATCTCCATTACTCTTACCAGCCAGTACACCCTAATTATCAAGGGACCTAAATCCAATTAACATACAAGATAAATTAAGATAATTTGGCAGTAAATAAAGATTCTTCTTTACTGGTACTACCTGGTGTTCTCTTTCACACTCTTCCAGTGTGGTGGAAAGTTCCTGAAATTTCCGTTTTAGATCTGCTGCTCCTTCGTCGGACTTCTTCAGAGCAGAAGCTCTCTCTTCTACAGATTTCTTCAAATCTTCTATATTATGAACAATCTGGCAACACCAAAAGTTGTCAGAAATCGCTAAGAATCTATAACAGTTCCAACCCAAGTAAGACCTGTCAGCTAACCTTTTCGGCATTCTTTTCTTCGCCCTGAAGGGTATCCTCCATATTATTAAGCTTGGATGATTCACGTGTCACTTCATTAGACAGAGAATCCACTTTGTCAGACAAAGTTTTTACTTCTCCCCCCATGCTGGCTTCCCTTGCCTGAGTCAAAGCTTTTATTTGTTTGTCCAGTTCCGCTATTTCTCCTTGTGTCTTTCCTGTCTCTTCGTCAATACTTGCCATTTTCGTCTTCATTTCTTCAACCACATGAAGAGAATTGTCTCTAATTTTCGCTGCTTGAACATATTCAAAAGCGATACAGAACCTCTTCAGTCGATCTAGTTCTGCGTTACCATTAGCCCACTGCATATACTGCATCTTTTCTTTCCTCAGCTTCTCCAAAGCTGGCAATATTTCTAGCTCTAGGAGCTTATTTATCTCATCAACCTTGGTTTGCTTTTTCTCCAGCGTTTTCAGCGCAGCCTCTTTCTTGTTTTCATACATTCTTGTACCAGCAGCTTCTTCAAGCATTGATAAGATCTCCGGTGGTTTCATGTTCAAAACTTTGGTGATACGCCCTTGCATAATGAGAAAATGTGGATTATTGACGTTAAGTTGCACCGAGTGGAAAAGATTCTGGACTTGACTTGGTTGAGCAAACTTCCCATTGATCAAATACTTGTTCCTTCCACCAACTACAATCTTCAAACCCAAAAACACACAACGAAGACGGGTCAAATCTAAGCAATCAAAAGTAACAACTCTCTCACAAGTATTCAAATGAGACCTACCTGTCTAGTCACTGTTATCTCCGAGTGGTCTTCGTAGCCGAGAGGACTCTTATTCCTCTCGGAATTGTCAAAAGTAACGGATACAGTAGCCTTGGTAATCCCAGCTTGGCCTTGCTTGTAGACGAGTTCCTGAAGATTAGCAGCTCGTACCTGTTGAAGATTAGTGATACCCAGAACGAAGCAGATGGAATCGAGGATGTTCGATTTCCCTGACCCGTTCAGACCCGTAATCGCGTTGAATTGCGGGTCAAAACCCGGAACCAATGTCCTCGTCGCGTATGATTTAAACCCATCCAAGCAAATCTCCTTTATGTGCATCTTCTTCTCTCTTCTTCCCCCAAATTTACCCTAAAAGACGAAATGAGAAACTAAACCCATAAACCCTAGAAATGGATTTCGATTTGTAACCCAGAACAACAAGCTTAATCCCCGAAATTGAAATCGCAGAGACAAAATCTAACCGTTGCAGGAGAAGCAGAGACTGAATCTAAAAGTCGATTCCTTTTTCCTCTGAGAGAATTGAAATTGTGAAATTTCCAAAATTGGGGATTTCGATTTGGTAGCAAAAGCGCGGGAAACTGAAATTTCCTTATCCCCACCCGAACCGGACAATATTGCCAGTACCATACCGGACAGAACCGAACAATTGAATTGAAATAACCGGACTCTGAACCAGCTCTCTTTCTCTCTTGGGGGTTTTAGATAACAACAACACTAATAGCTGGTGAGGGAAAATCTCAACAATGGCGCTAAGGACACTCTCGACGTTTCTTTCTCTTCCTCGTCGCCTCACGAGACATGAACACTCTCTCACCGTGATTTACCGAAAGCCCACGACGCTAATCGTCTGCAAGTCGATCACTGATTCAGATTCGGCGGTTTCGTTCTCAGAACGCGATGGGATTGCGGCGGCTGCTCCGACCCCTGGAGAGAGATTTCTGGAATACCAACGAGCTCATGATGCTCAGAAAGTTTTGAAGAAAGAGCTCA